ACAAGAAAGGCCCATGACCCTGCCACCCTGCCGGACATGGTTCACTTGGCTCCGTTAAACACACACATAGAGCAGGCCTCCTGCCAGCTGATGGTGATGAGGGAAGGTGAGAGTGGGGAGAGGCAGCGAGAGGAAGACATGGTGAAAGAGAGCTACAACACACTGGCAAAAGAATGAAATGGAAGGAATTTGGGAGCGAATAATTGGAAGTGGGGGTCAGTAGGCATTAAGGAGAAAGAAAGAAGAAATCATTTCAAGTGATCTTTGTTAAAATGTACATTTATGTAATAAAAATATATTATATTATAATACCTGATACAGACTTGTCCAGATGTTACTAAAACGCCTGATAAACCATAATAAACAATTTGTCACACCTGTCTATAATTTTCAGAATGCTAATAGTTTCAGGCATAGGTTTCTATATTTTCAGTAAAAATTACTTTTCTTTATCAATGTTTTACCCAACTCAGCGACCCTGAATAGGGTAGGTGGTTACAGACAATGGATGGATTTCACCATAATTTCACCAAAATTATGAAAGCTGTTTGAACCTCAGGTTATAAACAACATTTTGAATATCATACACCCAGTTCAGGGGATTCATATAAATGTGCATCTTGTCCATTTCAGACCAGTCATATCACATTGGTAGGCCTATGTGTACATAAAGAAAGCACCTTACATATGTTTCCATGTGGGTTTTTGTGAATGGAGAGAGGGAGGTTCACCTAGCCACAAGTTGCCCACCACCTAATGGCAAGCAGATGTAATTTTACACTAAACTTGGTTTCATACAGTAAATCCATCTCAGATAGTTGTGCAGTAGCCAGATGGGGCTGGAACAGAGCTGGGCCAGGTGCCAATCTCATTTTATTAAAAGCTGAACTAATGGGGCCAAGTGTATATGCAGCTCGGAGGACACACTGTAAAGTCCACCCCCTTCAAGGCGTTCTGCGTGGAAAGCGGGCGGCCGAGGAACCACAGTTAGTCAGTGTGTCAATGTCACAGTTGTGCTGTATGCAGTTCTAGTCTCAGGATCACAGGGCCGCACTAAAGCTCCCATTCATCTCAATATATTCAGATGTCAGGTGCAGAACCCTTCATGCTCAGGTTTTCAATGGTTACATAATAGTCTTTACTGGAATGTCTTTGTAGCATAATGGTTTTCACCCGGGGGGCTGTGGTGCACCGTACAATGTATTAAAAAAGCATAGAATAAAATGCATCACTGTTAAAGTTATGGGCGGGCGGTAGCCTACTGTATATCGAATTTTTAATGTATATCGATATATCTTCAAAACAAGATACAGGATGACACAATACCATTTATATCAATATACTTTTCCTATGTGTTAAAATGAAGATTTTATTAAAGATTTTTAATAGAAACCAACAGTGTTCCTTCCTGGTGGTGAGCAGTGTGAGAGCTTTGGTCATAATGTCACAGAGAGTCCCTGAATTCACAGCTAAAATCAAACCACCCCATTAGCGGCATCTCATGGGGAAGTTGATGGAAGGGAAAGGTGAGGAGCCATTGTTACCCGGTTCATTTAGTTTTAAAATAGTCCTAAAAATATCGAAAATTGCAATATTTCTTTAATTTTTTTAAAGGATTTATCGGCCATTAACCTCACTTTTAATCATTATCAGGTTTCTGATTTTAGAGCCTCAGAGAGGTTTTAGATTTACATAGTTATTTTTGTTCATAAACATTCACCTTCTGTTTTGAGAGCAATGTCATGAACTAAGTGTTGCTGGGCATAGTGGAGTGAAACCTTGCTTGTGTCATGTTCAAAAGAAATTACATTTATTTGCAGTGTAGCCAAAATAAAATGCTTATTTTAATAAGCACTGGTAATTTTGGTCATCATTGCAGAATGCATAGAAAGGAAACCTGTGTAGGGGGGTCCAAACGTGTTCTCCTGGACACGAAGTCCTTGGGTAAGAAAAGGCTGAGGACCATTGTTCTGGCAGATTTTTTCCATAATACAGCTTGTAATATTCATGTTCTGTATTTCTATTTAAATTCTATTTTTCTATTGCATACTTCCCTTAACGTAGACTGAGGACGACCATGCAACACTGCCCCCTTTTTGTCATGCTATTAACTTACATAAATAAACTTAAGTTTAGTCATACTGACATCTTTAGGCTATTAAAAGCCATTACAACTGTATAAAAGTGGGAGATGTCAATGCATCGTCCTTCCAGTTTTTCAGTCTTCATTTCCTTTAACATCATCACAAAAATAACTAAATACTTGTTACTAGAAATGCTGGAACCAAACTATGTCACAGACTCTGCAGCATGTCATTACAGAAGAAGACAGCTATGCCCAGTTTGGTGTCTGTACAGCAATGCTAATTACTCTTTGACCCATATTGACCCAGATTTGCTGGTGAAAACAGCAATTTACACTATAAAATCTACAAATAACAATTTTATTGATTAAAACATTCAACATAAAAATGCACAATCAGCACACGAAGAAAGTAATATTTATATACACTACTTCTTAATTATGCTTACTGACGTAATCACGGTCAACCAACAATAAAAGGCTTTTTCCTTTATGCAATGTGAAACTGAAATGTTCTGCACCTCACCTTATCTGTGTTTGGGCATCAGGTAGCCCAGTCGTTTAAGGATATGCTCATCAGTGGGCAGTGGTGGCTTGATGGTTAGGGTAGCGCACTTGTAATTGAAAGATTGCAGGCTTGAATCCCCCACCAGCAAGTCACCACTGAGGTACCCTGAGCAAGGTACCGTCCCCAATCACTGCTCCCCGGGTGCTGAATTAGCTGCCCCCTGCTATGTCACAAAAGTCACATATGGGTCAAATGCAGAGGACACATTTCGTTGTTGCGCACTGTGTGCTGTGGTGTGTTGACAATGATCACTAAATTCTAATTCTGAAATTCTAATCTAAACTGGCAACTTTCAGGTTAAGTCCTTTTACCCCAGTAAGAGTAATATGTTCCTTTTTTTAAATATCCAACCACCACCTTTATTTTTAATTAGCTAAACAATAGATAAATACATTAAGTGAAGCCACCTCTGCCCACCCCACATTATAATACAATGGTACACAAATAGACAAATAAGACATGGCAGGTATGACAGACAAGACAGTAAGACTGTGTAGATTGATGTAGACAAAACAGGACAAGTCTAAGACTTTCTATGAAGTCAGAATTATGAGATGCAGCAGTTGGGGTATGATTACATTGAAGAGCTGTAGTGTCAGTGTGTATGTCTCTGAGTGTGTGTGAGTGTATTCATGTGTGTCATTCAGTGGATTTAGTTTACAGGCAAGTCCAGTGCGATGGTAAATGAAGCGGTTTGATGCTGTAGGGCAGGGTTATTCAACTCACGGTACTCGAGGTCCGAGCACTGCTGGTTTTCCAGCCTTCCTTTACCTGTCAGTCAGGTGTGAAGCCTCTGACCAATCAGAATCAGTAATTATTAAACAAGTACCTGGGAGAACTGAAAACAAGGCCTGGATTTGGAATCGAGGTCCAGAGTTGAAGAACCCTGCTGTAGAGTAATAAATTCCATGGATATATATTCTTTGAGTATATTTGACAATCGTGTGATATTAACTGTGTATATGGTTTTCCAGTTTAACAGAAGCTTTCTTGGCGATAGCTAAGGCCACCAGTATGGGTTCTGCATCTTCGATTGGTGAGGTTATATCTGAGAGATCTCCAAGTAGACAAATGGAAGGAGTTAGTGGAATGCTGCAGCTTAGTATGGTGGAGATTCTGTTAATGATTTCTTTCCAGAAACTTTGAATTGGTGGGCAGAGCCAAAGGGAGTGGAAATTACTATCTTGGGTGTGTAATGCACACTGTGAACATGTGTCCGTTTCTAGAAAGCCCATTTTATACATCTTGTGCTGGGTGATGTGTACTCTGTGAATTATCTTATACTGAATTGAAGATGTAGGTTACTGTTATTAGTCATAGTGATGGTGTTCTTGCATACTTGGGTCCAGAATTCAGTGTTTGTTGTAGATGATGTCTTTTTCCCTACAAAACCAAATTTAAGAAGTGTCTCATGCAGGAATGTCCAATTTACTCTACCGAAAGGCTTTTCTGCATCTAGGGATGCAATTGTTTCTATTTTGAAATACGGATTAAACAATCTGCCCATGTTATTTTATGAATGTCTACCTTTGATGAATCCGATTCGATCTGGATGTATTAATGATGAGTTTACTGTTTCAAGTCGGGTGGCGGGTGCTTCACTAATAATTTTGATATCTGTCTTGATATCAGTGATACAGGCGGTAACTGGAGCAAAGGGTTGGGTCTTTGTTGGGTTTTATTTGTACTGTGATGACGGCTATATTCATGTGCTGAGGGATTTTGGAATTGTGTTTTATGTCAAGTACCATTCTGAGAAACAGTGATGAGATTGTGTTTCAGTAATGTTTGTAAAACTCGACAGGAAAGCCATCAGGTCCTGGAGCTTTATTATTCGGCATTTTATTGAGTGGAATATGGAGTTCCTTAGCTGTTAGTGGTTTGTCTAATTCATCTATTTGATCCTTATTATACTGTGGCACCAAGATGTAAAACACAAAAACAAACAAAAACACAAAAACAAAAACTTCAGCTCTGAAATACAAAATATAAACACGAAAAAAGAAAACGCGAAAAAAACAAAATAGCGGTCCAGAGGTGCAAAACACAAACACACACAAAAAACACGATGTAACAAAAACGTCAAAACGTCTTTTCTGCATGTTCCGTGTTTCTGCTGGTCGTTACTCCTAATTAAATCCCGTGTTTCCCCGACTCCTTGACTCCTGCACCTCTGTACCCTGCTCGACATGACAGTTTTAAAAAGGTGTGTGTTTTATTCATTATTAAAAATGGTTATTATGGTTTAACCGATATGTTTAGTTAAATCAGTAGCGCATTTTTAGTTTGACAGCTATTGTTATTCATTATAATCGTATATTTAGTTCGCTAAGAATTGTCTCACGGATATGTTTTATTAGATTAATAATGTTTATTTGGTTTTTGTTATCATAATATAGCTGGGCAGCATATAAAACAGGTTTACAGATGTTTTGAGATCAACAACCTTCACATTAATACACACCATTCAACACTGATTTAAGAATATTTATTATTGTGATATCATGATGTCCTACACTTAAGAGTGATAATACAATACAGATGTATAACCATAAACACGTCTTTATAAAACTGTTTAGCATTATAACATTTATAGCTACTGCTTCAGTTTGCTCATGAAAATCTGGATTACGTATAATAATATAAGTCTGCAATTAAATGTATACCAGTAAAACAAAATCCCTAATATCTATTTCTCAAGATAATAATTAGGCCGGTTACGCAAACATTTGTTGCTATGGAGCTAAATATACGGTTATAATCGACAAACATATTGCTATCAAGCAAAAAATACATTAATCTATAATAGGCCTATGTTGGTTAAACCATAACAAAACATGCCAGTTATACTAAATATGAACTTCTTTTCAACATAATTAATGAAACATACCTTTTTAATACCTTCGTAAACGTATTTAATGTAGGCAAGTTAGTAGTCAATAAAACATGTAGCCATGGCGCTAAATATGTGGTTATAATCATTAAACCACTTATTGAAGTAAATATATATGTTTATAATCGAGCTAAATATAGCCTACATTAATAATGCAATGAAACAATTCCAGAATAAAACGTCAGTTATAATATCCAGCTAAATGTGAACACCTTTTTAAAACATTACTAAAGGTATTTTATGTACGGTAATAATCAAAGAAAATATATGGAGTTAAATATATGTATTTAATGGATAAAACATATCGCTACAGTGAAAAATATTCGAAGATGGGATTTCGCATGAAAGCGGTCATTTGTCAAGTCTTCCGGAAACTACACCGTTACCAAAGACGTAAAGTAGGTGATGATGTATTTCCGCAATTTACTGGCTGGATTGGCATCTCAGGAGCGCTCGTTTTTCGTGTTTTCCTCTTCAGTGCCACCGTATTTTTAAGTTGGGGTAAATCTATGGTATTGAGGAAGGAGGTGATATCTGATTATATCATATATAAGTAATTATATAGTATAGTAATATATTACTTTAAGCAAAGGCATAGGTAATGAAGCAAAATATACACTGTCTATGGGTCATTGTTTTTAATTACTGTGTAGGAGGACAAAAAAAGACAATTTTGGGAGGAATTCATTAAAGTTGTGGAAATTCATTTCAGTGAGGACATGTGGAGGAACATAGCACACAGTAAACCTGTTCTACAGTAACCCATTCAACATTTAACCTGTGGTCATTTAGTTATCCATGGTCTGCCAATGAGACACTTTCAGATTATGGTGAATCCGGAGTTAGTAAGTATTATTACTAATTCTAAAAAGGTCATTTTTTAGTGCACATAAAATAAGTATGCTTATGTGCTATCATGACAAGAAATTGCCATGTGTATCACTTTATACAGTGAATGCATACTTGTGTGTCAGTTGTGTTCATCCCTTGTATTATTCCAGGTGTCTGATTCCTCCTTACAAATGTCATAATGTAGTTACTTGCACATTTTTGCCCTTTGGGTTTCACTGAAACTCAGTAGTGATGCTTGCTAAGGCTCCCGTCTAAGGTCCATGCCACTTGGCCATAGCTGTTGGCCAGTATTAGGAACAATTCTGATGGATCAGAAAACAGGTGCACACAGGAATATTTTGTTAGTTGTAGTGATTCTACTACCTAAAATACAGCCTAAAATAATGATGGAATTTTTCAGTCATGGAAAAAACAGTGGAATATATGTACTAAACACATTGTAATCATTGCTCCAACACAGCCATATCTACACTTTAGTGCCCGTGATTATAAAACACATTAGTTAACAGTTCATTCTAAATGCAGATCATGTTAAAAGATCCTGTCGTAATTAAATGATTCATCATTTTGTATATTAATAGATTGTAACCCATCTTACCTATGAATAAAATACCTTAGTACCTAAACAAATATTATATGAATTATAATTACTATTTTATAATGTCATATTCACACATCTGACACAGCAGTAGGTATTGAAAGTGAATAAGTATACCTACATAATTGTCATTGTGTGATTTGAATGCTCTTGCTCATGAAATCATGGTTTCCATGAGTCACAAGTCAAAGGGTAAGATTCTTCTGAAGGTCCCACAAGGTCTGGGCACTGTGTTTCAGCTGTTGGACCTCCAGTTCCTTCAATGGCTGGTTGATCACGCCACATACCCCGGCTGAGCCCAACACACAGGGCAGACTAAGGAATACCTCCTCCTTGATCCCATGCAGGCCCTGAGAAAATTTACAATCAGGAACTCATCCTGTCTAATCCCATGCAATCCATATTTTTTTCACTTTCTGTTTACAGTTAGATTTAAGTGTTTGATTCTGAATTTTTTTGTTGCATTGGTTTTGGCCAGTGACAGGCATATAACAGGTTTGCAACTAAATTAATCTTGAGTTTCCATTACATGAAACTGATGATTGACTGACAATGTGTAGCTGAACTTAGGGTAAACTTTTTAAAGTACATTTTAATGTTGTCTAAGGGACATATGAACCATGTTTTATTTAGAGGGCAGGATCAATAGCTACAGAAAACTGGAAAAACAATTAATACAGCTATAATGGGTAGCAAAAATTGACATCTTATAGGCTTATGTTTTCAAAAAGTTTACAGTTTTCTCCATTCCAATCATGTCTTCCGTTTTCATTGTATTGCTGAGAGGGTCATTGTAATGTTTTTAAATGGCTAAATCAATCACTGACTGAAAACATAACTTTGCTGGAAAGCCTACCTTTACCAGTGTGGAGATTGGCTGTACATTCTTGAGGTTCTTCAGAATGGACTGTGCAAGATGAGACACGCTCAACCCAATTGCCCAGGAGGTATAGCCCTTCAGTCTGATGACCTCATAGGCACTGCATATAAACACACAGGTCAAGTATTCAATATACCTGACATCAAACAAAAAAATAAAACAACAAAAACAATTGAGGGCTTTGGTTGCCTTGGATCTTAGTTTGTGCATCTTTTAATAAAGTTTGAGACATTTTATGGACGAATCGTAAGGTTTTAATTCTATAGTCAGTCATAGTCATACTGAACATGACAATTCAAGTAAAACAAGTCATTCCTGTTGCCCAGTGGCAACAATGACTTGGTTTACACATTATTTATGACCCAATGTATAAAAATGTGGTTAAAGGTCACATAGTGATTTTCCATAGCTGTATATTTTGTAGCAAATCTAACTGAATCAATAAGAAACATAAATGTACTATACCTCTCAACAACTTTTTGGTGGATTTCTAGCCAGCCCTCAGTGTCTTGACCTCTTTTAAGATCAGGATTTAATGACTGTAGCTCAATCCCTGCCACATTGGCCCCACTCCACACTGCCACTGTTTGGAAGCAATGAATATTTGTATATGTAACTGTATAATGAATATTTATGAATTATCCATCTATATGCCACTAATCCAATCAGAGATGCATAAATGTATTTATGTACAAGACAATATTATCCGAAGCGACATACTGTAACTGACAGGGCCAGGTAGTACTGTATGTTGTATGTACTAGTAGGAGGGCCTCTAGGGTAATGCTCAAGAAAATTGATTTATAACCTAGCAGTAACCAGTAGTAGACCCACTGAGATGTTATAGCACAGTACTCAAAAAGAGATTTATACAATCTGAATACATTAAAATCTTCAGATATTTAAAAACACACAAGCCGCAGTAATAAATAACCTGTGATGGTTTATATTCTTTATAGAGAAAAAAATGAAAGGGTTTATCAAGGAAAGAAAAGGCATTTCCTGTGGGTTCTAACCCAACCCTCTTCATAACAGTGAGTAAAGAAAACCTTAAAACCGCCTAGCTATAAGTGACACCTAAAATGATCAACCAGCTCAGCTGAAAACTTGAGGGTAGGATAACAAAAAAAACAAAAAATAGGTAAAGTGATTAACACCTTTGCCTCCCCTTTGCGCACGGGTGGGACTAACCACTGGAGTCGCCATGCTCCCCGATGATGTAACCGGTGAGACTAACCACTGGAGTCGCCATGCTCCCCGATGATGTAACCGGTGAGACTAACCACTGGAGTCGCCATGCTCCCCGATGATGTAACCGGTGAGACTAACCACTGGAGTCGCCATGCTCCCCGATGATGTAAC